TAAAGTTCCTTTCGCAAGTTTTAGTGCTTTGAAATAAACTAGGGAGCTCAGTAAAACAAATTTCATTCAGCTGCCCTAGGAATCTGCATTTTAGCAAGCTCTCTACATAATTATGATTCAGGTGGTCCATGTGCTGATCACATTAGAGAAACCATGCTTTAGAAGATACACCTATGTCATGCTGAGGGTTAAGTTGTAAAGAGATGCCCATGTAATACATAAAATGGCAACAAATGATCGATTAAGGGAAAATTTGGTCTACAGGGTCATTCCAAAAACCCACTTTAGCACAGAGGTGCCAACAGATATTATAAAACTAATCAAAACTTACTTTTAAAAAGTTAATTAACATGTTTTATGTCCTAGTTATCGTAGCCAAAATTATATATGTTCATGCTGTCTTTTTGGCTACAATTTGCCTAGAGAAGAGAAAATAGAAATGGAATAAAATGCCTACCAGGCATTAGGCTGCAAATACATTTCTCCCGCAGCAAAGCATCAATTTATAAAGATAACTGCAGCACATTATTCATCCGGCCCCTCCTCATTTGGCCTCACACCGGTCTCTTAGCGGGACATTTCCTCTCCCGAACTGCTGCTATTTAGGACAAAGACTTGGAACCAGTAACAGAATGACTGTAGGGGCACTACCCTAAAGCGCTTCCTTCTAATATTAGGAAGAATTGATACAAAATTAAACAAGAATTGGAGGCAAGAGTTAGGTCCTCTCTCCACTGTAGGGGCACAGGGACCATTTACAGACAGTAAAATAAAAGTAATTTTGTTCTTCATGAGAACAAGTAATATAGAAAAGAGCTGTTATTTCCTTCTGGTTTTCATTCAAAGACTTCAAAATATTAAGATTAATGCCCATTTTCAGATGAATAATATGAAAAAAATGGGGGAACATTTTTTTGTTAGCCTATAAAACTGAAAATAATGATTTTTGACGTCTTCTCCATGCTTATATTACTTACAAAACTACTTCTACTAATATATAAATTATGTAAAATAAAACATAAAATCAGTTTACTAAGAAATCACAGTTAAGTAGAAGGTATTAGTATATCACATGTGTATTCTGATTTCAGTGATAATTCAATCATCCTTGACCCCAACATAGGTCCTACAGTGAAATAAACTGGCTCCTTTCGTAGGCCATCTCAAACATTTCCTATCCTGAGAATATGAAAAAAAAAATGGACTTTGAAACAAAACCCACCAACTATGTTCTTAGATCTTGATTCTACTCCAACCCTGCAATAATTACAGTAATTACAAAGATAAAGGGTAAAAGTCACAAAGTGCTGGCTGGGACATTCCAGAGCAGGAGAAAGCTTGGCGCCATTTTTATAGTTATGCCTGTTAAGATTTAATAGACGGAAAGTTTCATTAGTGAGCTGTGCTGCAATTAACTTCAAGGAGGTTCCAGACTACTGTATGTTGCTGTTACTGACAGAAAACTGTTTAGATTTCCCTCTTGAAAGAGTGTATTGGATTTTCAACACTTCAATTATAAACACGAGTAAGAGGCACAATTTTTAAAAATTTAATATAAAAGATAGGTTTTTCTTATCATAGAATACATAGTAAAAACAGACCTTTATTCTTCAGTGGACATACCAATTGTGAGTCGTTTTGGGGGTGATTATTTAATTGTCATTATTATTGTTGTTATCATTATTTTAGACAGAATGAAGGTACAAATATTTTTGTACTTATTGTCTCCATCTCTCCTCCTAGATCTTGAAATCATGTCCTAATGGAATTGTGGCAAAGTTGGAAACTACTATTTGTCTAAATCAAAGACTTTCCTGACTGATGTACTCCACCTTTAATATAAAATGCTTGCTCTTAACTCTGACAAGTTGGCAGATGCCAGAGCATAGACTAGGGAACCCAATGGCTTGCTGGTCTCCAGCGGCTGGTCAGATTCCGGCCAGACTTTTGGGGGTTTGAACACAGGGTTCACAGGCAAGGCTTCCCAGACTCCTACTCACTGCAAGTTAAGCTGCTGCTCCCTTTTTATGCAAACTACTAAAGGTCATCCGAGGTTATTCTCAAGAGAGTTACTGCAGTGCTCTAGGTGTTGCATTCAGTAGACTTTCTCTATCTAGCATGTTATTTAATTTATCTGTCCTACTATGATATGGCTAAATTGTTGTGGACTTCACTGCTGTATTTTCTCGGATCAAGCAGCAGACTGCTTTGGCTCTTTAAAATGACTTGAAGAAGGAGACCTGCATTTTATGACTTTTAAATCCCGTCTTGATACTTGTTTTTCCAGTTAAAACCCACCCACCCCCTTTCGTTCTACATATGTTTCCATTAATAGGCTGCAGACTTTTTAGGTGTGGTAAGCATGTAACCCTGAGAAGCACTTTCGGAGACATGGTAACTTTTTCAGACCATAAGGATACATTTGGTGTTTGACAAGCAGTCATGGAGTGCCTAAAACACTCGAGTTTTCATTACATGGAATTATCCCCTGGACCAGTGTGTGTGCTGCTGTCCAAGGAGCACAAATGAATCAATTTTCCCCTACTTGAGTGTGAAGTCTGGAAGTGGGTGACATATTACTTTACCTTGTATCATGTGGTAACACACTGTTGCTGAATTGTAGGTGGTTGGGAGACTGTGGGCTAGCTTATTGGACTAAACGTCTCCCTGAACTTGCAGTGTCCCCCAAAGTACCACCTCGCCTTCAGCAGATGATTCTCCATGAAGTTCTAGATCCTCTATATTTTCCCTGTCCTTGAGTTCACCAGACCCAGCCACACCGTGTCCCAAAGTGTAACAAGTGTGTGAAGAATGGAAAACATTGTCGTGGCAGGAAATCATGCTCAGGGGTCCTGTAATCCCCCAGGAGGCTACAGAACTGGATTCATACCGTGGCACCGGGGCCACATCAGGACAGGCCCCCACACCCTTTCACACACCACGGTTTACTCCGATTCTGTCTGATGTTTTAGAAAGGTAGGTTCTGTTTCTTGGAAAAACCTCATTGGGTTTAGTTCTGAGAAAATCATTAATACCTGGATTAACGTTGGGTCAGGGTTTAAGAGATCAGTATGTTTATTTGGGTTTTATATATTTATGGTCGGTTTTAGTTTCTGCTCTTAAACACCAGCCAGCAAATTCTTGGGGTTTGTGAAGCATTGCGTCACTTTCTTTATGTCTTCTTATGACATGGTGTTTTGATCCTGCAGCTAGAAATCAGACAGAATTAAAGTCTCTTTGTCACAACTGCTTGAGCATTGACCCCAGGCGCGGTTTGTTTGCATGATGTTATATATTTTTTACCTTCTCTGTTAATCATCTTGTTTGTTTATCAGTTCTCTCACAGGAGGGCAGTTAGAAATAATTAATCTTTAAAATGCAGGTAGGCAGTGTAACATTATCAGAACTGGTTTGTGTGTGTCGGATGGATAGCTGCACTTTGCATATTTAGCTATCTTTATTGGTCTGCATTCTCATTTGAAGAAACATTTAACTTTTTATAAGCAAGGACAGTATAATATACAATACTACTAAGCCTAATATTCAAGAATGTTTTCATACATGTCTTAGTATTAATTAGGGAGCAGTTCTTGTTTGACATGTTTACTTTTAATTCTTAATAGGTTTCCAAGTAGGGCAATGCAGTAAGTACCCAGAAAAACTAACAATTATCTAGTCTAAAGAGCTTTGGATTTCACTGTAAAATTAAAATTGTGGGGAAATTGTGTTTTCATTCTACTCATATTAACCTTTTCTTATCCATATTAGCTAAAGGTTAACTTGTTCTTGCCATTTTTATGAAGTGAGAAGCAGGAACTTTGTCTTTTTATGAAAGGAAGCACGGGAGCGCCAAGCATTCATTAGAGATTGAAATTAGAAGCAACTGTGAGATTAAGTTAGACGGTAGCTCATTGTATAAGTCTAATTTGGACTTTTGTAAGTGCTGATACTAGGAAGAGTAAACGCATATGAAATTTACCTTCATTTTGCCCCCTTCTGATGCCCCTGCCCGTTGGGAAAGGGGCTGAAACTTCCCCGGGGGGAAACGCATCTCCGCAGGCGGGTGTCACCGCCCCTGCCCCCCGGGGCACCAGGGATCTGTTTTCAGTGTAGCCAAAGACCAAAGAAGATTAATTCCTGTTGTTTTCGTGTTTTCATTTTTTCCCCCTGGATTTACCACCGTGTTACCAAGAGGCTAACTCAATTTCTTTCTCTGCCTCACACAATTGAACAATACAGCCAAAGGAAATATTATTAGTGTCTTTGCAAAATGGCAGAGTGTGAAAGGATTGTTAGGTTTCCAGCTCTCATTTCACGAGTAGCCCCTGGAGTGGGAGCCTCTGAAGGAGGGGAGGGGGGAGTGGCTGGCCCTCTGGGAGTAGATGGGAGAGTGAGCCCCAGCAACAGCAAAGCTTTCCATAATGCACCTTCTCCCAGGAATCTGAGGAAACAAAAATGGGAAATAACTCCTGTTTATTAGATTTTTTAAAAGTCGATTGGAAACATTTTTCACCTCCCTAAAGAGAAAAAGAGAAGCCCAGTCTTTTAAAACACTAATCTCCAGTCAGTAGGGGTGAACCCTTCTCTAGAATTCATCCCATAATTTCTAAATGAGTGAACAGAAATAAGAAAGGTATTATACTACTTTATGCTGAATTAACCTCACTATGTACCACTAAAGATCTATCTCTGGAGACACATCATAAAAACCAAACACTTTTACCACCATGGCAGTATTAAAAAGTATTTCATATTTTACTATTAGGGTGTAAAATTACTAATCAAGGGTGAGAAATGACCAGAAGAAAACAGGAGAAAAAGAGCCTCATTGAAACACGCTGAAATATTACCAAGCTTTCATTGAATGCTTTCGCTTGTGTTTTCCCCTCATCTTTTAGGGCCAACACCTTGTAAATAAAAGGCAACCTGTTTAGAATAATAGAAAAACCATAGTAAATAACTGCTGCTAATGAACGAACGAATTCTATTTTGTCCAACAGAATCGTCAAGGCAGAAGAGCTTTTCTGAATGCATCATTGATTTCCATGAAGACCAAACTTCTTTCAGGTTGTGGCCCCCGTCTCCATCGCAGGATCACTTCCCTCCAGCCAACAGAAAAACGACCACCCCGGGATTAAGGGGATGATTTTGTTGCTTCTGGAAGGAGGGTGGTGAATTGATGTCTGCTTTTTAGTAAGTACAAAGAAGGTACTTTTTTAATTAAAAAAACAAACATGCCCTATATTTGGTAAACTCGAATCTTCTGGAGCGTATTCCATAGGCCCTTGTGACCCTAGACTGTACATTAAGGACCACGCCTCCCATAGAAAGCGCTAAAAATCAGCACACTTGCATTGCATTTTGAGTTCCGTCCTGCTGTGTCTTAGGTAGGCATTGAGCCTCTCTGGTCTTTAATTTTCCCCTCTCCTGCTGTGTTCCATTCGTTCTGCATGGCAAGGAAACATTGGGAGACTTAGGCCATGAGGTTGGGACCCTGTCCTTCTTGTAGAAGGTAGTACAGGCTCTTAAGTCAGACTGTATGCATTCAAATCTCAATTCTACCATTTATAATGCCTCAGTTTTCTCATCTGTAAAGTGGGAACAATAATGGTTTCTATCATGGAGGGATTAAGTAAATTAACATATGTAAAGGATTTAGAACAGTGCCTGGCACAAAGTAATTACTAAGGAAATATTATTTTATGTGATTATTGCTGTCTTTCCATTCTCAGTGCAAAGGCTGCCTCCGCTCTGAGCTTTCCTGGTTTTCCTCGGCAAAGTTTTGTGCTTTGTGCATAATCCCAGTAGAGCAATTTGGTTTTTATCAACAGTTGTTGTTGTTGTTGTTTCATATTTATTTCCTCACTAGACTGTAAATCCCTTAAGGCAGGAAATAGAGAATGGTGTTCTATTGGTATATTCCTAATAATAGCACAGTACCTGGCATTAGGTAGGTATCCAGTGTTCATGAATGAATGAACACATGGATGAATTAATATTTCACTTGTCTCCCAATATGCATCCTCTCTTTCTTTAGCAATAGAGCCTCCAAATTTTAGCGAGCATATGGCTGTCCAGGCAATGACCGCATTTTCTGGCTAGGTGGGGCCATGTGGTTAAGTTCAGGCCAATGGGATGTACATGGAAGTGTGATGTTCCACTTAAGGGTTGTGCCCTTAAAGGACAGAGGTATGTCCTCTAGTTCCCCCTTTCCTCCTGCCGCTGGCTAGAATGTGGATGTGATGCTCAGATCTGGAGTAGCCATTACAGACAAGGACATGGGTAGCACTTGTCAAACATGGAATCTGTTGAGGATGACAGAGCAGCAAGATCTAACAACTCCCGGGTTCCTAATGATATGGAGCAGCTGAACCAACCCTGCACGGTTTGTGTTCAAATTTCTCTCATGTTTGGAGCCCTGTTTTGCTGTTTTTTATTCATTTTGTTGGTAGATGGATCTTTGTTTCACCAGCCGAGTCTGTTTCCTAATTCACTGCCCACAGGGCTATATTTACTTGATCCCAGCCTTTTGATAATTTTCTAATGCAGATAAAATTGATAAAAATATATGTGAATTAGATTATCACATGTGATTAGAATTGAGCAAGTGTGTGAATTAAATATGGCAACAAAAAGCTTTGGTTTAACTATTTTTTTAAAAATCATTTAAACCTTATTGCCATTCTATTCCCAGTTGCGTAGTGGTGGAGCTGACTGGTTTGAGAGAAGAGGGATGAAAGTGGGACGAAACCCTGGGTTACAGGGCTGAGTGCTCGGGGCAAGGCTTAGCCCAGGAAGTGTTTCTTTTCAAACCTCATTTGGCCGGGCAGGAGGGACAGAGTTTTTGCCCAGGCGACTCTCCTCACCTCAGCAAAACAACCTTCCTCCTTAGCCGGCACCCCAGTTGCTGAGCCCTGTGCCTGCTCTGGACAGCGAGGCCCACGGGGGAAGGGTAGCTGCCCCTTTTCATCATCTCTTACCTGTATAATGAACTCCTTTCTGACCTTCTAAGCAAGAGCTACTGAAAGCAAACTGTTTGGGTCTCTGGGTCAAGGACTCAGACTTGTGCGGTTATAAGGTGACCAGTTTTCAAGTGTCCACAAAAATTTACCAAGAGATTTACCAGGATGATGTTCCACAGGTTTTTATTGTAAAGGAAAATCATTCTGGGGAAAACTAAAAGGTATAGTAACAGCTTAATGATGATTTCCAGAAAAGTATAGAAAATAGTGATGAAACATGAATATGCAGATACACATAGGTATACTTTTAAAAGTTTTTATTAACATTTGCATGTAGGAAGTGTTTAGACCATAAGTGTACAGCCTTATATATACATTTATTATGTTATTTTGGACATAAGTATACCTAATTTTTCATTTTCATGAGAGCTAAACACATCCATTTTACCAGCATACAAATAAAAAAATATTCAACATATATTTTTAGTATCTGGAACTGCATGGTAAAATGTTGAACTACAAACAACATTTCTCATGAATAACAAACATTTTCTCCAGGGTTTCTATAATTTTACATTTGTAAGTTGGAACTAGGAGGAAGTCATATCTTCAGACGCCTAAATCTTTCAACTCAATGTTTAACAGAAATACATAAGCAGAATAGCACAACTGTGTCCATATGTAATGAGAAGCCAGAGTGATTTATCTCAGCCTTCTCTGCAACTGTCCCTTTGACAGTTTCACAGACATTCTCTCTGTCTTTAGATAAATTCCTTAACCTCTCAAAGCCTCAGTTTTCACAACTGTGGATTGGGAACGATAGCTGTGTATAGGATTGTGCTGGTTAAGTGAGATCAGGTGTAGAAAGAGGTTTTCATGATGTTTGCATGTAGGAAGACATCAATAAATGGTGTTTTGTTATTGTTATTATCAATGCCAGTATCATCTAATGCCTTAGCCCCTGGGTTTGGGAAAGCTACAGAAATACATAATTGTATCGAACTATGTAATTTTTTTCTCTCAGGAGGATGGGATAGGCCTGAAGTGAAATTGCCAAATTTATGTCCTTGACAGATGAAATATGGTTCCTCTAGCAAGAGGAGGTAAGAGAGGTACAGTTTACATGTGCGCTTCTGTTAGGACTGTTTTAAACTGATGAGTTATCATGTTGGAATTGGTGTAACCCTGAAGAGACCATTTCCAAATGGTCTTAAAGGAATGTCATGTAGCATTTATTAGAGTCACTGCAACGGGGACGCTTCCCACTTGCTTTGATTTAGTGACATTACTTCTGGTTAAAAGCCTTAGGTAAGGCCACACACAGTGGCTGGCGATTCGTATAATTAGAAGGAATGGCAGAGGCCTGTCTCTTTACGAGGAAGTTAGCAGTGACATGCAATTAAAGCAAACCGTGGGGGGAGCTGTGTAGCTGGAAGGATTGTAGTGGATTGCGTGAAATCAAACAATGTTTACAGAATTCCGTCTCCCACAAAGGATTTCTGCTTGCTTATTTTAAATAAATTGTTCCAGAGATAACTATGCTAAAAAGGCAGAACAAAGAGGACAATGTAACTCAGGCTATCGTTATTTTTTCTCCTGATTTTCTGGACTACACCAGCCAGTGGGTAAAGCTGTTTATCCACTGGACTCATGATGAGGCATCTGAGCCGTAAATTATCATGCACTTATCAGGGTGGCGTTTTCTGCTTTAAAAGACACTTTCACATCCATTACCTGTTATGATCTCTGCCACTGCATAAGGCGAGGTGAGTCATTATGATGTCCATTTGAAACGGAGAGAAATGGAAGCTGAGCTTGGAGAAGGGATTTGCACAGTGCATTTGTGGGGGAGCTCCATTAACACTCGAGTCATGTGCCTCACAGTGCAGCACTCTTTCCAGCACATGGGACCGTCTTCTCAAGCATAAACGTGCATTCTTGGTTTCTGAGCTTTGCAAGAATATGGTTTTTTCTCTCCCTAAGACACTGCAGTGGTCAGAGTACCTTGGAGAATAAACTGAAAGCTCTAGACTTTGTCCTCAGAAAAACGCACACGTGGACACACACGTAAAAATCTGCATCACCTTCAGGCCACCTCCTTCTAAAATCCGCACGGGAAATAGTTTAGAGTGTGGAGTATCCTAGTCTGGGGTTGCGGGGGCGCCTGCCGTTCTCGGGCAGGAAGAGCAAAGTCGAAGCCGTGGTGCCATGAAGGCTTATCCAGCCTTACTCAGTGCGAGGCGCTGCGGCGCATGCACCGTGTTAGTGCAAATCGCTCAGCCTTCAGTGGTGAGCGTTCCTGTTGGAACCGTTTTATAGATGAAGACACTAAAAACTCTACCAGAATTGGAAGCCTGGTGGACACTTTTTATCACTATGCTGAGCAGCCTCTCCAAGTGATAACTATCTGTCAGTGGAGGGCAATTTCCCTTGCAGCCGGCCCATGCCTGTGTGTGGTGGTGTGGCCAGGAAGTGGGGAAGGGAGTTTATAGGAGCCTCTCAGCAGCAAGGGTTCCTTGGGGAAATCCTTTTGTTGGGAGTGATGGGTTGGAACTGTTAACGGCAGCAGAAATGTGAAGTGTGAAAACTGTTGAGATACCAGGATAGAAAAGAACAGGGCAGCATCCGTTGGGTGGTCTGGTTCTCTTGGGATGTGTGTTGGATGTCCAGCTGTTGTATTAATTTTTATAGATTCCATGCTACATTCTCTTGCTAACTTGGCAAATGATTCATGGAGTTACTGAAGTGGGGTGAGTAATCTGCTCACAAGCAGAGCTGGGGCTACGGGAAAGGAAAAGGCAAGCCCTACATTTGGGGTTTCCTGAGCCATAAATAATGGCCGTGTTGCCATTCCCAACAATATGCTTCTGTCATTAATTAACTTTTATGGAAAGCTATGGTGTTCATGACTTTGGCCTCTCCCCGCTCTTGATCTATGTGGTGTTATGTGGTGTAGACAGCCGTGCTCACAGGTGGGATTTGTCTAACGGGGGAATCTGAATGAGCTAATGTGAAATGCCTGCTAATATATGGCAGGCCACTG